CCTGGGGAGAAAGTAACTCAAGTATGACTCAGTGAGATCAGGGTGAGCGCCACGTCTGATGGGACTGTGGAGTGAGGCAGCTGTGGTTCTCCTGGAACGGCGCCTGTGAAGGGCTTAGCGGGATCCAGGGAAGGTGCAGCTCCTCTCTGGGCGAGGAGCGTGAGCCCGGTGGAGTCCCGGCTGGGGTCGCAGGCCCAGGCAGTCTCTCTATAGCATCTAAACGTTGGCCTCTGTTGGCCAGTGGTACATTGCGGTGTTTTCACTTGTGGAGGGCAAACACAGAACCAGTCTTTCAGATTTGTCCTGAGCACCCATTATAGGCAGGGAGGCGTCCTGCACCCTGGGGATAGAACGGTGAGCAAACCAGGCAGTGTCTCAGCACAGCACCCCCACTCCAGAACGTACAATCTCTTGGGAGTTCCTGGGCAGAGGTGAAACAGAGAAATATGGAAGGAAAGAAAATGATGCATCAAAAGATAACACGTGGTGTGGGAAAAAATTAAGCAGGCCAAAGAGGATGGGGAATAGTTAAACAGGGTGTTTGGTGGCACTCTCTCTGAGAGGGGGAGCAGGAGGCGACAGGACACAGAGCAAGAAGGCTTTCAAGTGGAGGGAATAGCAGACGCACAGACCCAGAGGCACAAGTGTCTTTTGGAGTGAAAGGACCAAGGAGAAGACCAGCGTTACTGCGGTGCAGGGATGAAGGGGTGGGATGCAGACCACGCCGGGTTTGTTCACAGGGCTTTTTCTCCCAGTGAGAAGCTGGCTTGGCCAGGACTGTGGCTGTGGAGGATGAGAAATAGTCTCATCCTAGCTGCATTTGGAAGAGAGAACCCCTTGGACTTGCTTGTGATTTGGATGCATGTGGTCTGGGAGGAGGAGCCCAGGAAAGTATGCCCAGGCTGTTGACTTGAACGCTGAAACTGTAGGGACGCGGCTCTTGGAGGTGGGGAGGAACCCAGGAGGTGCCAGTGGGCAGGGGCGTATCAGGGGTCTGTTTGGGACACGTTCAGTTAGTTGCCAGTATACAGCCAAGTGGACATCGCCAGGTGACGTGGTTGCCAGTATCCAAACAGGCCCTGGTGAAATTACTGGTTTTGCATGCATGTTCTGGCTCCTCATTGACGGCAGGAACTAGGTCTTAAACAGTAAGTCTCACGGTCTCAGTGTTATATTTTGAACTTGATTCAAACTGCAAAACCTGGAGTGTGAAACACTTAATATTTCTCAGCACCAGAGGGAGCCCCACATGGGCCTCAAGTTCAAGGAATTCAGACTCATTTCTGGTTTAAAGCGACATCATGTCACAAAATCCCACCATGTCCATTTCATATCCACAGTAGTACCTGTTGGCCTTGACAGCATGTTTTGAGGCAGATAATGCTCCTCTGTAAGGGAATTTCAAGCAGGCAGACCCAGCCATATACATTCTCACTGAAAAATCTGTCAGTATGATTTCATTAACTGTTAATGATCAGTTAACCTTTGAGAATGTTTACGTCCTTCTCACAAACCTAATTACAAAATGAAAATACTTTTGCTATGACTACTTCAGTGTGCTTATTTGAGATATGTACAATGAGAGTTTAACTTTCACCCAAGGACAGGCAAAACCTTACTTTAGTTCATATATATCCAGACCCCCCAAAAAAGTGCATTATCTAGATAATTCAGGCTACAGCATTAGGGAGGGAAGAATATTCATGAGGATAAGTATTAGCGAGGATAAATAATTAGGAGAAAAATAACACGGGGCCTGAGCCATGCAGTCAACTGCTTACTGTGATCAGATGACCTGAATCTTTTGCTCCTAATTTGTATGGACCCAGCTGAAGGGGTGGCATCTTTTCCTGGGATGGCAGAGCTCTCTGGGGAGAAGACAAAGCGAGCTTTTAGGAGGAAGGGACCAAAGGCAAGTCTTTGAAGTGACAGGGAAGATTTCCCCAAAGCTGTCTAGGTTAAAATAAATCCCATTATCATCGCCCTTTTCAGCATACCTCTCAAATATTCTCCTCTCTTCTCCTCACTTTTCTTTCATGCATTTTTAGGTAAGCTGTTCAAGCTATCAACTACCTCACAGAATTTCATTCTAAGACCTGCTCTCGGAGTTTTGAGATGATAGAACAATGAAGGGCTTTTAAAATGCCCCCAAATATGGTGTATATAATGGGGGAGCAGGTACATCTATATCATTTCTCATGGAGTCATCAGTAACATTACTCATCACAAAGGCTTTGAAGCCATTGTCTTAAGTCTGTCGCACTTGGCAACATGTAAAAGTCTTCAGATAGATTTGTACACAGTAGAAGTTATTTTCAGAATGTGAATATTGGCTGCTCTGAGGAATGTGTGTAATATGGCTGACACCGCAAGAACCTCTTGGTTAGTAGTTGTTGGGCTGACTGGCAGCACAGCTCTGCCCAGGAGCAGGGGGTCACCTAGGAAATGCAGCTAGCAGACCCCACTTGAAGCCGGATTTGTTCCCTCCACTCTGTGTGTGAGGCTCATGGCTTTCAGCGGTTTGGGACAGGGTTCATGGAGCCAGCTCCGGACTGGTCCTCCCACTCGGAACTCAGTGGGCGTCCCCATCTGATACGTAACTTGTAGGTATGTCTGTATACGTCTGCATGCTGGGATCATCGCTCTGTAATTGAATATCTGCTGGCATATATAGAGAGACACTTGATTCGCCTAGCAGATGTAAGGCTGATGCTATTTCACAATTTTTCGTATCATGGAACAAATCCATAACCTGGGGTCATTGGATTCTATTTATTCCAAGTAACACTCACCACTTTTGGGGTAGTGGAAATGTTAAGTTCATCTCTTCTGGTGATACTACAGTATCTTTGTTCACAGGGACAGAGATCAGTAACATAGGAAAAAAGAAAACGGGTTTGGGGACCACAGAGACTGGGATTAAATCCCAACTCCATCAGGGTATAGTACTGACATTAGGTCACTGATTCAATCTCTTTGACACTTAGAGTTCCTTTTTTGTAAAATCGGAACAACAGAATTTTTCTCACTAGTTTACTGTGAGTATCAAATAAAATAGTTTTTGTGAAGTATGTACCTAAATGTTTAACAGATAGTTGGAACTCAAAATTTCTTAAATTCTCTTTTCATTATTCAGATAATCCATAACAATGAAATTTTCCCCAGATAATATGAACATTTATATGGGCTCATGCTCACACACTAGAGAAGAAAATGGCATCCCGCTCCAGTATTCTTGCCTGGAGAATCCCATGGACAGAGGAGCCAGGCAGGCTACAGTCCACGGGATCTCAAGAGTCGGTCACAACTTAGTGATTAAACCACCACCATGCCCACACACATACTATAGTAATAGGCTTTCATATAAATTCATTCCAGTTGTTTTTTCTAAAAAACACTTAGTCTTCTATGGAGCAAATAAAATTATATCATTCAAGAAATGCATCTAAAACAAGATAAATCACAGTTATCAAAAAAAATAGGTTAAGTAGAAAAGCCATAGTCCATGTAAATTACATGAAAATTTATTACTTTTTTTTAAATGAAAATTTACTACTTTTAAAGTGAGATATTTTAATTATTTATGTGTTTCTGGATGTGTGTGTGCCTGTGCATGAAATTCAACAGAACATTTTCAATATTATTGTATTTAGTCAATACAGCCATCTTTCCATATCTGTGGGTTACACACCTGTGGAGTCAACCAATCACAGATTGAAAATATTTATGGGCAAAAAAATTCTACAAAGTTCCAAAAAGCAAAACTTGAGTAGTTTCCAGGCAACAATTTACATAGCATTTACATTATATTACAAGTAATGTAGATGAGTTAATGTGTGCAGACAATGTGTGTAGGTTATATGCAAATACTGTGCCCTTTTATATGGACTTGAGTATCCTTTCAATCATTTCAATTTATTGAAATTTATGGTAGTACATGGCACATGTGTGCGTGCTCTAGTTGTGTCCAACTCTTTGTGACCCTATGGACTGCAGCCTGCTAGGCTCCTCTGTCCATGGTATTTTCCAGGCAAGAATACTGGAGTGGGTTGCCATGCTCTCCTCCAGGGGATCTTCCCGACCCCGGGATCAAACCTGGGTCTCCTGCAGCTTCTGTGTTGGCAGGTGGTTTCTTTACCAGCAGTACCACCTGGGAAGCCTGCATGGCACATAAGCAGCCTAGAAAAAACAATAGCTACTGAAAGGATGCTGGGCTTCCCCTGCTTTTGATATTTGTCTTCCAGATAAAAGAGAGGCTGACTGGAATACCTGGGGCTTGACCATGTAGCTGGGCCAAGCACGTGAACTGTTGTGTATTCATTGCACCCTCAAACCCCTTGAAGTGTTGCCCAGGTTTCAGGTCCTGGGGAAGCCCTCCCTGTTTTCTCCAGCTCTCTCTGGTTCTCCTCTTCCTAAATTCCTAGAATACGCCTTCATTTGTCCAACAAATGTTTATTTTCAACTACATGCCAGGTATTCTTTTCGGGGCCAGGGACACAGTGATGAACACTTAAGTGCCTGCCTCATGAAGCTAAAATACAGTCTTAACTCTGATGCCTGTTCAGCGCTGTCATCGGTGAGGATAGCATCTGTCCAGTGAGTTAATAAAGCACAGGAACACACTTTGGGTGTGAGTCACATGCAGCGCCCAGCGCCTGAACACTAACCAGGTGTTCCGTCATCCTGGGTGGGGTGGGGGGGGTGGCATTGACTTGTTTTAACAAAGACCAGCTACAGAGCGGATACCCAGTAAAACTATATTTTTGAATACTGAATGGACTTTGACTGGCTTCTCTATATGATAAACACAGGTATAGCAGAAAATTAGGAGGCTTACTTACATGTGTTGGTAGAGGCAGATTGGGGAACTGAGTCTTTTCTTCCGATCAGCTTATGTGCAAATGTATGTTTGTGTACATGTGTATATGCAATAAAACAAGGATAAAACGTCTTCATCTTTCCCTTCTTTCCCTTCTCCCTGTTTCTTACTGTTCCCACAGGTCAGCGTGGAAGTTTTGGTAGAGTATCCTTTTTTTGTGTTCGGACAGGGCTGGTCATCCTGTTGCCCAGAGAGGACCAGCCAGCTCTTTGATTTGCCGTGTTCCAAACTCTCCGTCGGGGACGTTTGTATCTCGCTCACCCTCAAGAACCTGAAGAACGGCTCTGTTAAAAAGGGCCAGCCCGTGGATCCAGCCAGCGTCCTGCTGAAGCACTCAAAGGCCGACGGCCTCGCGGGCAGTAGACACAGGTATGCCGAGCAGGAAAACGGGATCAGTCAGGGAAGCGCCCAGATGCTCTCTGAGAACGGCGAACTGAAGTTTCCTGAAAAAATAGGATTGCCGGCTGCACCCTTGCTCACCAAAATAGAACCCAGCAAGCCCGCGGCCACGAGGAAGAGGAGGTGGTCAGCGCCCGAGACCCGCAAACTGGAGAAGTCGGAAGACGAACCACCTTTGACTCTTCCCAAGCCTTCTCTCATTTCTCAGGAGGTTAAGATTTGCATCGAAGGCCGCTCGAACGTAGGCAAGTAGAAGCCGCGTGGGGAAGGGAAAGCTGGCCCTCCTTTATCATTTGTATCCAGATTACAGATGTACTGTAGGCTAAATAACTCAGTATTTACATGTTATCCTCTTACTTTAGGGTTCTGTTATAACCTTGTCATTAGACTTACAGCGGGCGTTGGGCAGGTGATTTGGTGCATATGCTTTTTCCGGGCATGTCTCTCAGCGGGTGGGTAGGTGGGGTGCCAGGGTAGGTCCAGCCCAGGCTCCAGGCAGGTGGTGGGCATCCTGGTTGAGATGAAGGTGGCCCCATGGCACCCACCTTTTCTGGCATCGTGGATGCACCCCCGGGGGCACCGACTTCCACTGGCTTCAGAGGGCTGGTCTGCGGGAAGGGAGCTGCGTCAGGGGCGTGTGCGCGTGCCTGTGTGCCAGGGCGGGTGCCTGGGTGGCACTTCCGTGAGGGCGTCTCTCTCTCTGCCTCCCTCTGTCTTGCTCTCGGCACCAGACTGGAGGTCTGGGGGAATGTCCTCAGGAGGTTCCCCTGTGCAAAGTCAGCATCGGGGCCTCTTGAGAGAGGTACCAGACAGCAGATGGAAAGTTAACCGTGTGAAAGAACATTTCCCCCCCCCCCAACTTACTTTACAATAAAAGCAACTTTTAATCGTAGAGATAAATATATATATATTTCCCCCTATGGGGCCTGACTGCACTGATATTTTTTTAAAGAGCAACTGCCACCCATGGGATTTCGTTTCTGCTTTACCAGTGCAGTAAGTGATGTCTCCAGGGCGTCGTGGTGGGCAGGCGGCCCCTGCTGGCTTCGCTCCGCACTGGTTGGGGGGGGCGCTGGGCAGCAGGGGTGGGGAGAGTGAACATCCCCTCCGGTCTCTGTGCAGTGTTAGGAGAACCAATCAGGTTAATTGCATTGACTTCGCTCCCAAGAGATAAGACACAAACTGCCCTTCAAAAGAGCTGCAGAAGCTCTTTGCTTTGGGTTTGCAAATCTTTTGTCTTTTAACTCTAGTACTGTTTATAGTTCATGACAATGGACAACTCGGGTGCCACTTTTTTCAGATTCCAGTGTGACGTGAGGAATTAAGATTTTGAAGATAAGCATATATATTACTATCTCTAAGTACTTAAAATGCCGTTCACACTTTATTACCAAGCATCTTGGTCTCTCATTCAACAAGTACTGTATCTCACTTTAAACTCTTTGGGAAGAAAAACAGAAAAGAAAAAAAAAAAAAAACTAAGTTGCTTTCTTTCTTTTTTTTTTTTTTTTTTTAAACACTGTAACTACATTTCAGCTCTGCAGAGTTTCTCACGGAGCAAGATGCTGAAAGTTTCAAAGTGGTTTCAAGGAATGAATGTGAATTATGAACTTGTATGTGACAGTGAATGACCACCAAGTAAACAGCCTGACAGGAGGCACTCTTCACTTTGATGTCTCAGAAAGGATTTAAAAAGCATATGCAGAGCTGGCAGACGAACTGAGAGGGAAGGGATGGGAAAAAAAAAAGAATACTCACTTTTGTCCAGTGTTTTTCTTTTTAAGACGAACTTTTAAAGAACCTTGCGATTTGCACATCTTGAGTTTATAAATTTGTGTGATAATTCCTGCAGTTTTTATTCAATAACATTGTGGGAAAGGCTTGGGGGACTGAACGAGCATAAATAAATGTAGCAAAATTACTTTCTAACCTGCCTAAACTCTAGGCCTTTTATAAGATTATGTTCCTTTCAAGATTCATTTTTGGTCTTCTTACCGTATCTGTCACATAAAACCAGGTCTTAGCAGGACAACTCTGAGAATTTTCTTCAGATTCATTGAGAGAGTTTTCCATGAAGACATTTATATATGTGAGCAAGTTTGTTTTTTTTTTTCTAAGAAAACAATTATTATTGTTGTTATTAATGTTATTTTCAAAATGACTTTCTTTTTCCATCTGAAATCAAGATTTAATGTTTGGTACAAACCCAGAAAGGGTCTTTCACAGTTGAGACCTTTTATCCCCAGAGATCTGAAATATTGTTTGTGGGTTTTGATTGTGCATTTTCAAGTGCTTAAAAGTTTTATAAAGAGAGAGTAATTTTTAAATATTCTTACTTGGAATGGCTGCAACGAATCTGAACAAATACCTGATTTTTCTTTTACCATTGAAAATAGTACTTTTTCCATTTCACAGATTTTTAAAAAATTCTCGTCAGCCCACATTCTGGCTTTCCAATATTCTTCACATTTAGCTCTCAGCAGAACTGATGATTTTTAGAAACCATTTCTGGGGTGTACCAAAAACATTGGAATAGGTTTTGAACTGCTAGATCCAGTCCTTGACTTTCTTCGGTTTTCATTACCCTCTCAGCATGCTAGCAGAGAGCTGAGTGAGTCCATTCTTGCAGTCATATTGCTTATTTAGTGCTGTATTTTTTTTAAACGTCTCTGTTCAGAGAACTTGCTTAATCTTCCATATATTCTGCTCAGGGCACTTGCAATTATTAGGTTTTGTTTTTCTTTTTTTGTTTTGACGGTAAGAGGAATACGGGGCTGCCATACAGACTGTCCTCATCAGTACCACTAACGACAGTGATTCACGTGGACTCAGAGAAACACCCACCACCTTTTGGCTTCTTTTGAGTATTGAACTAACCGGATCCACACCTCCAACACTAAAACGAGAAAACATGCGTGGTTTGGAGCAATAGGAACATCATCATTGTTTTTCGTGCTTCTGTTTCAGGTATAGGAATTATCGAAGAATCGGTTCTTTCTAAACATTGTCCCATTTACCTTCTTGCTTCTTTAGCGTGTGCAATACTTTCCGTGCCAATAGAGTCTGATCAGTGTGCGCTCTAGAGAAAGTGTAGGTAGGCCCCTCTTGGCTTTTTCCTTATTCTCTCCATCCTTTTCCTGTGCCGGCCAGAGAAGGGCTGGAAGGAAGGAGCCGGGAAGGGGAGAGCCTCCTGCTGGGCGATTGCCCTGCTCCGGGAAGCCAAGGCCCCGGGGCAGGGAGCTCTGGGGGGAGCCCCGCGTTTCCCTCGCCCTGTTGCGGAAAGGAGCAAACAAAAGAGATGGAAGGGAAGAACGCACTCTTCCCCCTCCTCACCGCGAGGAACAGTGGCGCGCAGACAGGAAGGAGGCAGACTCATTTCTAAGGCGCACTCTGGAGCAATCGAGCCAGGATCAGCCCCTGTTCCACGGTCCTTTCCTCGAGTAGGTGCCCCCCCACCCCACCCCCAGGTCTGTGTCCTGGAGACTCGGAGCCGCGCCTCCTCCGAGCCTGGGCGGGAAGCGTGGTCCACCGCGTGCGCGCCTTCCGAGCCTCTGGCGCGGGTGGCTGCGGAGGGGCCGGGCCTCCTGCGGACAGTGGCCACCGCTCCTCTGTGGCAGCTCTCGCCTCCAAATAGGAAGGCCATCCGGAGGACAGGGGCCCTCCTGTCGTTGGCAGGCGTGGGCAAGCCCCGAGGCCCCCAGAGCAGCCCAGTCACCGCGCCCGCGTAGCCCACCTAGCAGTGCCGGGCGTAGAAACCCTCCGGAGCCGCGCAGCTTGCGAGGAGCAGCCATGTGCCTCTGTACTGTGTCCACTTTGCAATATTTACCTAACCCATCTTTTGTTCCTACCCATTTTCCATTTTTAAACTAGTAACAGCAGGCCTTTTGCGTTTACAGTGGAACACAATCACCAAATTAGTCAGGGCGAAAAGAAAAAAAAAAAAACACCAACAAACAAGGACCTCTCTTTCTAGGGATTTCTAAATATATAAAATGACTGTTCCTTAGGATGTTTCAACTTCAGAATTATTTCAGTTTGGGCCACATTGGGGGCGGGGCGGGGCGGCTAGAGAGATGGATACCACTTACCTCAAATCTTTTCAAGTGGAAATCCAAAATTGCTTTTTTCATTTGGATGTTCAGGATGATTTTTCTATGTCGGTCAATTTTGTGTCTTTTCCAACTCACCCCCGTTTGTTTTGGGAGGAATGTTTTTTTTTTCCCCCCATTGCTGTCCTCAATCCCATTTCTCACCCTGAATCATGACCCTATGTGTGTCCTGTTAGGTGAGCGCGTTGGGTTTTCTCGCCCACCGGGAAATGGCAGCACTCCTCCTCCCCCCAAGGAACTCTGCAGAACCTTTCACACCTCTAACTCAGGGACGGGGCTGGCGTGTGTGTGGTACACTGACGTGTCCAGAAGCAGCACTTTGACTGTTCTGGGAGTAGGGTTGTACAACTTCAAGGAATGTTTGGATTTCCTGCATCTAGTGGATTTCTCCTTAGATACCACATAGATCGCAATATAATGCTGCATGTTCAAGATGAACAGTAGCTCCTAGAAATCATAAAATCCACTCTTTGCACATAGTTCGATCTTTACTGAAATACGTTGCCAAAATTTATTTTTGTTGTATAGCTTTGGAATTTTTTTTTTTAAGGAAACAATTGACAATACCCTTTAACATCTGTGACTACTAAGGAAACCTGTTTCTTTCATGGAGAAAAAAAATCTCAAATGCTTTTGAAGACACTAAATGCCATGCTATTTCAGATCTGGGTGAAGAAGCAGAGCTCTGAGGACAGAAGGCCAGGCTTTTGGAGCTGTGTTGGTTGTCATGGCTACTGTTTGATGAACTGTAAGCAGCTCGACAAACCGTGGTCCGTTTCCTCCTAAAACCCTTTGCACGTCCTGTCTCCTAGTCACCCATGATAATCCCAGGTGAAAAAAGGGCCAGCAGTCTCTGTGGTCCAATCGTGCTTCTTCAGGGTGATGTGAAAGCAAGGGGAATTACACTGTGTGGCTTTTCAAGTGAAGCAGAAGTCTTTGCTTCCATCTTTGTTTTCAACCCAGAATTTCTGAAATAGAAAATTTAAGAATACATCCAGTAATAACTATACAGAGAACATACTTTTCTATAAAGCACATGCCTATGCCATTGTGTTACATTGGTTTCCTCTTTTTTTCTCCAAGGACAGTGTTGTGTTTCTGTTGATAGGGGAACTCCAAACTGTTTGCACACCTCTACTCCGGAGCTAAGATTTCTTTTACATAGATGACCTCGCTTCAAATAAGTTACCTTAATGATAGGATCTTTTCTTGTAGCACTATACCTTGTGGGAATTTTTTTTTTTTTTAATGTACACCTAATTTGAGAAGCTGAAGAAAAAAAAAAAAAACTTTGAAGCACTCACTTTGAGGAGTACAGGTAATGTTTTAAAAAATTGCACAAAAGAAAAATGAATGTCAAAATGATTCATTCAGTGTTTGAAAGATATGGATCTGTTGAAACAATGAGTTTCATACCTTGTTTGTAAAAAAAAAAAAACATAAAGGTTGAAAGTTACATGTTTTTTTGTATATAGAAATATGTCATGTCTAAATGATCAGATTTGTATGGTTATGGCCTGAAAGAATTACTACTTAAAAGGCTCTTCAACTATACCTATGCTTCCTCTAGGTTTTTGTTACATAGAACCCTCTTCTGAGGGAGAGTAATTCTGTATTTTGCAATTAGAGAATACTGTTCATTCCTATGCCAGAAGTACTTCTCTGAGCTCCCTTCTTAGTTTAAACTCTTTAAGCCATTGCAACTCCTTTTTCTCCAGAGATGATGTTTGACATTTTCAGCACTTCCTGTTCCAGTAAACCCAAAGAATATAATTCTGAACAAGAAGTGTTTGTAACAAGGGATCCTGGCTACCAAGAAAATGGGACTCATCACAAGGACACACACACACAAAAATGTTCCGCCTTCTCTCCCCCCCGACACCTCATTTCAGTGGTGGTGGGGGGTGGGGGGGATAAGCAAGAATTTCAGTTGAGATGCCTCGTTTCACATTGACTTTTATTTTGACTTTTTTTTTCTTTACCATTAAGAGGCCAAAATTAATGTGGAGCAACTTCTCAGAAGTCATATTCTGTCCAGAAATCAAGCCAGCCAGCAGAAACTGGACAGCTGGCAGGGGAGGGGCAGGATGTTGAGCAGATCCCCCCTCCAATTCTTAAAATTCAGAATCTGAGCCCCTCCCTCACATTACACGCGATGTTTCTGGTAGCTGACATTCACCTGTACGATGGTGGGAGGGAACTGCGGCTTCAGTTTCTCATGTCCTCACGACTTGCATACAAATGGTTCAGCTGTATTAAAATTAAGTGCTTTTGGCCAATAGGTAGTAGCTCTCCAGTAACCTTCTCTTAAGGATTTCCGTCACTTTTCTTACCTGAAAGGACTCCAGTCTTCCACTGCAGATAATTGGAGACTTCACCCAAGTTTTCTTTCCCTTTAGTTTGTTCATTTGCTGTCTGGGATGGCTGATGAGCCAGTCTCCTTTTCCATGGCCAGTCTGAAGGCCCCCTTTGGAAGTGCTGTTTACAGTCATCCTTGCCGAGGTAACAGTAACTGTCCTCTGGAATAAATGGCAAGTCTGAACGGTTACCAAGCTGGGTGTGTAGGTTTTCTCTGGTTCCTAACTCGAACCGCCTACTCTTCAATTAATCTAGTTCAGGAGTGGGGTGAATTTCTTTATTGTCAGTGAACATTAAACTTGATACCTGTGTGCATCAGTTCTGTGAATACTGCCCTTTTGGCCTTTTAGGGGAGGTTTTTTTTTCCTCCTCAGCCTTCACTGTTCCCTGTATACCCAAATTAGTGTCAGCTGAAAGGCTCTAGCAGCGCCCTGCCAGTATTTTCTGGTGGCCTTTGGTTAAGACAAGAGTCCTAATTTCTAGCCAGTGGGGTCCTGGTCCCGGGGCCATCTCTGAGAGTCACACTGATGTTGTTTTTCTAATATCAGCTCACGACCTACCAACCTTCCAATCGTATGCCTCCCACCGGCCAAGGAAAAAGAGACACCAGAACTTTGAGGGCACTATCAGACTGACATGGCCAGTACAGAGGAGAACTAGGGAAGGGATGATGATTTGCACCTTATTGAAAAGAAAAATTTAAGTGCATACATAGTTAAGAGCTTTTATTGTGACAGGAGAACTTTTTTCCATATGCGTGCATACTCTCTGTAATTCCAGTGTAAAATATTGTACTTGCACTAGCTTTTTTAAAACAAATATTAAAAAAAAAAATGGAAGAATTCCTATTCTATTTTCTAATCGTGGTGTGTCTATTTGTAGGATACACTCGAGTCTGTTTATTGAATTTTATGGTCCCTTTCTTTGATGGTGCTTGCAGGTTTTCTAGGTAGAAATTATTTCATTATTATAATAAAACAATGTTTGATTCAAAATTTGAACAAAATTGTTTTAAATAAATTGTCTGTAAACCAGTACAAGTTTATTGTTTCAGTATACTCGTACTAATAAAATAACCGTGCCAATTGCAAATGTGTCTGTGCGTGTGTCAGGTCCTCGGAAACCAGGGAGGCTGAGGAAGTGGTGGTCCTTCTTCCTTCTTGATCCACTGTGATCCCTGGGTAGGTTTGTGGTGGCAAGGGTGACATAAGGCTTTGCCTTTCTTACTAATTTTGGGGAGTGGGAAGAAGGTCCATCGTGCTTGAGATGAGAATCAGATAAAAGGCAGGTTTCAACATCTGATGTTTCAGCTTGTTCCATTTGTTTCTCCTCTCTGCACATTGCTGTTTTTACAAGAGATTTTTTTTTTTGCTTCTTAGCAGTATTTGGCATCTTTGTGAGCTCGTAGCATTATTGATATGTTTCTGTATGCTTTGCTGCACACTGGTTAATGGTCTGAAGGTGGAAAGTTCATCTGTGTTTCTTGGAGTTCACGCCTGTTTTTGCATGGTGCCCACTCTCAGATGGAGGAGGCTTGGCAGTTGCCCCAGAAGGGAATTCCTCCAGGACCCAGTCAGGTAAGGCCCTCTGCCTGCATCTGCACATGTGGCTGTCCAGTCCTTCCAGCCTTCAGGTTCTGCAGTGCTGGAAGAGAACTCTTGGCGTCCAGTTCAGCGTTGTCGCTTATCCCAGGCAGGGATGGGTATCTCCTTTCCGGTTAGTCATCTTGCTTCGGTGTATGGGGACATCTCACCAGGACTCTGCTGTTAGGCCTGCAGCATCGAGGTCCTGTTGTACTAAGAATGCTAGTGTGAACGAATGTTGGTGTGTAAATTAGTGATGCACTGAGACTTGAAACCCAGACAACAAGGCTGTCCAAGCCCTCGTCCTCCAGAACAGTCTGGGCAGACGTGGGCCGCTCTGGTGCAGCAGTCTGAACCACCGCCTGCTCTACCGTTGTTAATAGTAGCTGCTAACGGTCCTGACAAGTCTGGGTTCCAAGAGCTGTGAGTCGTACCTGAACCAGTCCGGTTGATGAGGAAAGTCCTTGCTTTGCAGGT